CCAATATATGTTCTTTTGTCTTCTTTCTTCTTACCCAACTATAATTTTTCTCAAGAGTTGAAGTCATTCTACTATTTTGACTAGTACCTCCACCAGAAGTTCATATTCAGTCTCATTTTAGTCTTGATTAGACGGTATGTTAATCTTATACATTATCTTTAATCTCTTTTTATTTTTTTATTTTTTTTATTTTTATGGATTTAGACCATTTGTTCCATTTTTTATTTAGTGATTTGTTCTCGAGTTATTACCATTAGAGACTTGATTTGGGTTTAGAAGATGTATTCTTATGTGAGTTTTTTTTTGGGGTTCCCATTTTGTGTCAGGCCAGATCTATGATTTCTTGTAAGGAATTGAAGAAATCATATGATATCTGCTTCTTCTAACCAAACATTAAACATTCCTTTCAATTTATTTGTGGTTTCTAGATGTATTCTTAGGTAGGTGTTTGCTTTTCTTTTGTTTTAGGTTGTCATTTTTGTGTCATGGTCGAGCTTCAAAGACTTGACCAGATCTACGAAGTTGGCTCCTTATAGCCGAACTTAAACTAGGTTCGGTTGTTCGGTTCTTGAAACCGAACAAAGTGGGATGTTTGGCTCTAAAGAGCTAAACAAAGATGTTTTGTTCTACTCTTTAGAGCCAAACACAAGGTAGGTCAATTATGTTGGAAGCCTACTTTTTCTTGAATGGTGCAATAATGCACATGTAGGTAAATAACAATGGATGATCTCATGTTTGTTAATGAAATAAATGGATATATAATTGAAATAATAATAATGGAAGGATTAAAAAATGACCAAACATACCATAATTCATCTTATAACATATAAATCAATACGGAATAATAGCAGTGGCTAAGAAAAGATGATTGTAATAATATATTTTGATCATTCGAATGTCATTTCAGAATAGAATACAATAAGAGAAGAAGAAAATGCAACCTTTTATAACATGCTTATTTACTTGAAATGAGGGAAACCATGAATCAGGAAATTTAGTAATTTGGGTGATAAGGAATGGGTCTAGGATCAAAATTTCCCCATTAATCAATCTAATTCATGGTATTTCAGGTATTAGATTATGAATATAATTAATGTGAAACTCACATAATTTTTTATTTCTTATGTGTTGGTAAACGTAGGGGAAGTAGGGAATTAGAATAATTACAATACCCATGTGTTAGTAAATGCAGACGAAGTTACAGATTAAATTAATTCCAATATCAATTTCAAGTAAATAAACATGCCATTATTTATATATATTTTAGCAGCCTTTATCTTCAACCTTATATTAAGAAAATAAAGCAAGCTCTTATATCTTTGTTCTTTTATGTTCTCTTAGGTTCCTATTTATTTTCTAGTTGTGATGACTCCCATAGTATGTAGTTATGCGTAGATAACATACTCATCCATTCTTTCATTTGGGAGTTCCCAATTTCCTCTATTAGGAGTTCAATTTTCCTGTTACCATTTCTCCTGTGCCCACCTGTTACCTATCTAACTCTTTGACACATGTCCTTCTACTTAACTTTAAGTTAACAGTGTTAAGTTTAATTAAATTAAATAATAAAAACTAATAATTGAAGGGGAAAAAAACAGCCAAGATCAAACTCGCACCCATCCTCAATCCATAGCAACCCCAAACCAGTCGGACACCAAAACTCTCCTCCTTGCGGCTGGAAATTCCTTTTGTCTACCTTTGTACCCCCTTGTTTCTCTCTTTCCCTTGATTTCTTTGCTTCCCTCTCGATCTCTTTCTCTCTTTCAAAGAACAAGCTAGAAGAGTAAGGGAAGAATCTAGATCTGGATCCAGAATGAAGGGGGAGAGAGAGAGAGAAAAAAGGCTTTTCCGACGACAAGGAGGAGAGGGGGCTGCGCTGGCAAGGTGGGGTTGATGACGGATTGGGGGTGGGTGGGAGTTCGATGTTGGGTTTTCTTTTGTTTAAAACAAAAAACAAAAAAAACAAGAAGTTATCTCTTACTCAAGCCATAAACATGGCCACATGACGTCGCAGCTGCTTTAGAGCATTTGCCTTGTCTGGCTTCTTCATGAACATTGCAGAAAACATTTTGATTTCTCTGATGCTTTCCCTTCCTAGAAGATTTACGATGGGTCTCTTTTTTTTCCTTCAATTATTAGAGTTTTTATTATTTAATTTAATTAAAAGTTAACACTGTCAACTTGGGTTAAGTGGAATGACATGTGTCAAAGAATTAGATAGGTAACAGGGTGGGCACAAGAGAAATGGTAACAGGAAAACTGAACTCCTCTATTAGCCTCCAAAGTAGTAGTGCATGCAATGTTGCAAAGTGGTAACAAATACCATTAATGGCTAGCTTGTTGCCCTTTCAATTTTCATAGTTTCCTTGTTCAAGTAAGCCTTCCTTAATTTTATTTTTTGGTGATATTCTCCACTCTTCTCACACCCAATATGTTGTCGAATATAAATACCACATCAGAAACTTGACTAAATAAATCACAACTTATAATAAGTGGTTCCACTCCTAATAGCACTGAGGCCTTTACCCCCATATGCAATACATGGTGTTCACGTGTTGGGCTTGAATGCTTGACTCCAATGTGGACTTAACTCCACGTGTGACCCACTATGTGATGGTCCTATGTGAGGGGGCGTGTCGAAGAATATAAGTTCCACATCAGAAACTTGACTAAATAAATCACAACTTATAATAAGTGGTTCCACTTCTAATAGTATCGAGGCCTTTTGTGATAAAAACCAACACCTATTGGGCTTTGTAGGTGGTTAAGTTGGGGACAATATATGTGTTGCTAGTAGTGGGTTGCTGACTTGTCTCTCTAAAATTTAGCACGGTAACAAAGCGAGTTGAATGACTGAGCATGAAATATTGGGCCTTTACCCTTAACCCTTACTCAATATGTGGTGTTTACATGTTGGGCTTGAATGTTTATCATTACCCCTTACCCAATACGTGGTGTTCACGTGTTATGCTTGAATGTTTGACTTCGATGTAAACTTGGCTTCACGTGTGGCCCACTATGTGGTGGTGTGTGTTGAAGAATATAAGTACCATATTAAAAACTTGACTAAATAAATCATAACTTATAATAAGTGATTCCACTCCAAATAGTATCGAGGCCTTTTGTGATAAAACTCCACACCTATTGAGCTTTGTAAGTGGTTAAATTGGGGACAATAGCGATGTCGCTAGTAGTGGGTCGTTGGCCCGTCTCTCTAAAATTTAACACAATATTAATTGTAACTCTTTAACTCTTGTTATCCTTTCCATCTCTACTAAATCTTGAAGCAACAAATATTTTTACAGGCCCCTATCTCCTAACCGCCCTTGCACATATTCATGGGCATAACCATAGTTAACTCTTTGCTTTGTATTTGTGGAACCCTAGTTATACTTATGGGTACACATCAAGTATTGAGAAGGGTGATAATAGTACATCTTGTATTCAAGTTGTAAGTAAAAATGTTCCCCTTAAAGAAAGGCTTAAGAATCCTGAATGTCAACTTCAACTAGCACTTATGGATGAGCCAATTTGTCATTACAATTGGTATAAGGGCAACCTAGCAATTTTTTTTTGGGTCTGAAAAGGGCAACCTAGCCTTTTGCTGATGAGTTCTTACAACGGCTCCCTACTAACACACAAAAAACATTTTTTTTAAATGAAGAAAAATGACTATGAATACTTACCTTTTCACTAAGAGAGTCCTCCTAGTGAAAAATGGAAAGGGATATAATCCTCCCCTACTCTCATACTTACAAATACTACTCAATTAGTCTGTTATGCAGTTTTTGGGTAATACACATTTCGTCGTTAGTAGTTGTTAGTGTGGCTTGTTTTTTTAGTGTGTTAGTTTGTTGCCTTCTTCACAGCTTGGTGTTTTAGATGTCATGTTGATGTTTTAGTTATATTGTTTGAGGTAATATATTTTAAATACTTCAAAAATGAAATTGTGCACAAACATTATTTCAAAAAAGAAAAAGAAAACTTGGTGAAGCCATTACTGAAAATCCAAATATAATAATAAAAAACCAAATACACAAACTTCCCCCCGCCCTTCCCCTTTACCTTTTACTCCAAATAAGAGAAATTCAAATATTTTGAAATCTTCATATGGTAGGATATAATTAATAAAATTTCAAAACATTTCCTCTTCCCATCTTTCTAGCTATAGAAGAGTCTTAATTTCTTTTTTTTTTTGTTTTTTTTTTGGTAGTTTGAAGATAAAAGAAAAAAAATATTGATGAAGGAAATCAAACAAATTTAAAAAAGAATAGAGGTTAACTGAGCTAATTTTGTGGGCTCAAATATAATCGTTTTAATTCAAACAAACTTATATTTTTCCGTGCTGTTTTTTTTTTCCCAAATTTACTTTTTCAAATCGATCTCTGAAAAAAAGAAAAGAAAAGGGATTTCTTGATTATGTTCTTCTAATGGAATTATTGTTACGGAACCCAACAAGGAAATATCAAATAATAATTCTATGGTAATGAAATCATATTTTAAAATTTTAAATCACGTTTTCAAAATAAGCACTTTTGTTAAAAATAAAACACTGAATTGTTACATATTGAATAATTTCCAGTAATTTTTATATTTTATTTTGGAAATAAAATCTCCTAAATATCACCAAAAATCGGAAGAAATTCCTATACATAAATCGAAAAGATTTCTTTTCCCTTTTCACAACATTAGATATTTAGGAAAAAGAGAGTTTTTATTTTTTTTATTTTTTTGGGTGTACAAGAAAGAACTAACCTAAAATGTCTCTGGGCCTATTCTCGCCAGAAGAAAACATATTAAGGGCCTTCCAAAAAAAAAAAAAAATTCTGCTTTGGAAAGAAAAAGGAAAAGGAAAAGAAGGAACACTCTTCTGGCGCCCTTTACAAACCGAACTCTTGTTCAAACTATTATTTTTTTTCATATACACCGCCTCTTTCTTCTTCTACTTCTTGGTATAACTTTTCTTCTTCACCCTTTGTCTGCAGAAACTATTAGTATTAATGGAAGAGCAGAACAACATGGTCACTAACTCCCAGTCTCCACAGACTGAAAGTGCACCGAACAATGAAGTAGAGACTTTCATGGAGCCTGTACAAATGAATATAGAGCCCAACCAAGATTTAGATCAATCCGGGGCCCCCATTGGAAGAGCAGAGCTAACAGGAACAGATGTTCTTGTGAAGAGGAAGAGGGGTAGGCCGAGGAAATATGAAATGGTTGGTGAGGAGGGAAATGTGGTGGCTTTAGTATCAGCATCACCCGGTACATATTCGGGTTCATATTCGGAGAGCTTACCGAAACGAGGAAGAGGACGACCTAAAGGTTCCGGTAAATTGCAGCTCTTGTCTCCCCGTGGTGAGTTCTCTGCCTGATCTTCCCTGAAAATCCCATAAGAATATGAATTTAATTAGAGTTTGTGTTTGTTAATTTTCCAAATAATGGGGTTGTATTTGTTTCTGTGTCTTTCTTCTTCCGCACGTCAATGGTTCTATGTATGTTGTTTTCTATTTGGTTTTCTTCTCTCTTTGTTTCTATAGGTACTTGATGATGATGATAAAAATAATTGTTGTTGCTCCTGTTATTGGATTTTTGGAATTGGTGGAATTATGCATGGTTAGGACAGGAATTTGATTTTCTTTTCTGATGTTGGTTCTATTTGTGAAGAAAATCCTCATATCTATTTGATTGAGTAATTTTTATAAGTTTAGTTATTATTCTATACAAAGTTATTTGAACGAACTTTAACATGCTATTTCCCAAAAAAATTAATATATGTAAGCAGCTAGATTAGCATATTTCTATCTTCTAACATCTACAACTACTTCTTTTTCTGCAGGTGGGTTGTCTGTGGATCAGGCTGGAGGAGGGTTTTACACTCAAGTACTGACTGCTGAGACTGGAGAGGTAATTGTTAGATAGATCTGTGAGACGTCTCAAGGTCACTTTGATTTCAGTTATTCTTGATTGTTATGTTCTTTATTCTATCTGCCACAAGTTTTATGGCTTTATTTTGTTTCTTTTTTTTTTTTTTTTTTTTTCTGCAGGATATTGTTCATAAGATACTTTCATTATCTGAAACGAATCCTCGATCACTTTGCATTCTTACTGCTACTGGTGTGGTTTGTAGCGCCGTCATACGCCAACCTAGTTCTTATACCGGTATTTTGAGATTCAAGGCAAGATTCTCATAAAGTTGGAATCTTTTCAGTAAATCCTTTTCTTTAATTTGTTTCTCTCAACAGCCATGGATGCTATACATATTTTTAGGTGTGACATCTTTAACACAACTTGAACTCAACACGAAGTGTAAACATGAGTAACTTGAGAAAAATTCGTAAATAATATGACTTTCTAACTCAAATAATAAACAAGCCAGGGTTATAGAATTTAAACAAAAGTGAGTCCATCCTGACATAACTAACTTGTTTAATGGTATTGTATGAAGAACATAATCATTTCTCCAATTTTTTCCCTTTGCTTTGATCTGATATGATATGATATAGATCTATGTAGAGTTATAGTATTCATTTTCTTGGTTTTGCTAGCATCTAAATGAATATCTTTATATCGTGCACAAGCGATACATTTAGTTTAGTAAAATGGATCTTACCTTAATTAATTATGTGGATCAATCAGGACACGGTACGGTTAATAATGATATAAGTATCAAGTCATCAAACATGATTACATTTTAAGTTAGAGTTCATGAAAATTCAACACAAATCCAATATGACACAACACCATATAACTCGGTTACCACCCTTACTTTTGTTCACTTGTGTATCTAAGTTACACATTTGTCATGTCTTGTGGAATGCTAAGACACGAGCAGAAATGTTTGAACCTTGTTGAATGAGGCATGACATGATTAGCAGCTAGAAAAACTGAAGACAAAAATTGATGCCATACATATAATAGCCATCAACAATTTAACATTGAATTCTCTGTTCTCCGCTTGATGGTGTCATATTTGTTTCAAATAAGATGTAGTACTTTCCAGCCATATATTTGCTTTTAACATTGAAGGGTAACTCTTTATTTCTTACTTTCTTCCTTCATGCAGGGCCGCTTTCAGATTCTCACTCTATCTGGATCATTTGTATACGATGCAACGCAAAATCGACAAGTAAAAAATGGTATGTTAAGCGTTGCACTCTGCCATCCTGATGGGAATATTTTTGGTGGTGCTGTTGCAGGCGCATTGATAGCTGCTGAGCCTGTTCAAGTAAGTTTCTTCTTTTCTTTTTTTTCTTCTTCTCGTTTGTTTCTTTTTGTGACTCTGGAAGTAGAAGTGGAATTGCCAATGTTGCTCTAAGGACTCTTTCAAGTGACTGAAATTATTTGGTCCACAAAGTTATGACAAAATAAATTAGTGAGTACAACAGTAACAGAGTGAAAATTAAATATTTGGTATTGAACTATAGTCTTTATCCAAGGTAATTAAAAGTGCTTGAGGGAATTGCTCAGTCTCATTTTGGGTTATTTCATTTATCAGATCATTGCTACTAGTTTTCTGCAAGAAACCAGCACCAACACCAGCAAGGAATTGAAAAGGAGGCACCCAGCGGAATCTTCTACCTCGACTAGTATGCTAGGCAATTCATCATGCTTGGCAATGGTTCCCTTACTAATGCCTCCACCAACAATAGTTCATGATGAGAGTTGCATTTCGCCTACATCTGCTCTCTTGGAATTTCCATCCCATAGTGGAGCGGGTAACGTCATTGCTGCAAACCATAACATGAACCCTGCTACACTTTCGGGTTTTGGTCAGAATGCCTTGCTGCCAGATCCAACATCTCCTCACATTGAGACCTTTATTCCTCAGCCATAAAGGTAGCTCTCTCTCTCTCTCTCACGCACACACAAAGACACGGACAAGAGTAGACTGATATGTTTGTTACCGAACTTCTTTAGGTCTATGCAGATTTGGTGACTAGAGTTGAAGTGTTTTATCCAGTTTGCAAGGCCACAGTGCAAGATTTCTACCAGTGACTGAGATACCCGTAAATGAGATCTTCGACTTGTTATTGTTGTAGTTTTGATGTTGTAACTTATTGTAGATTTTGTGCTTTGCTTTTTATTGATAATGTGGACTTGGAGTTGCATGAAGATACTATTAGACTTTTGTGGTAGGAAACAGAAAGGTGCCAGAAACAATGCACCAACATGAGATCAAATCTCTGAATCCAATTTTTACCTTGAGATTTTTCAATGAATATTGCTGCACCAAAGATATTATTTTTGAGTAGATAGTGTACACATTATATTATGTAGATGTCAACTGACCCAAGAACAGCATGTGTGTAAAAAGCAAGTACAAATGAGAATTGCTGTAAACTGATAATTCATAATATTATGTTCATATAATTCTTACTTTTCACTTGTTTCTTGAACAATTCTAAAATTCACCCATCTGAATGATGGATCATAAAACAATTCATGGGTGTAAGGGTGATTAATATTTGCTTAATGTGTTCATACATTAGCAAATAACCGATAACTGTTGGCATCGAGGCTTATTTGTCTTACAGCAGCAATTGCAGCTATAACGCCCAAGATTGAGAAAACCACAGCAATAGTGATGTTTAACAGGAAAATGGGGCTCTTTTTAGAGGGTTTAAAGGTCAAGTTGTAGAACACAACAGGCAAGATGAAGTCAAGGGGTATGAAACCAAAAGCCCCAATAACTGAATTGATGTCCCCAAAAAATGGAAGCATTGCTGCTATGATTGTTGCTAAGACGACAGACAGCGAGCGGAAGACTACCCTCGGGATCACATTGCGAGTAGAGAACTCTTCGCTCGTTGGATCCACAAATGCTCGTTCAAGCACTTCATTTGTTGGCTGCAGATAAACCTGTACCAAAGCAATGTAGTTTAGACTACTAGTTTTAGTGAGTATTTGGTTCCAAGGAAAAAGATTGAAAAAAGATTGAGGTGGTGTTTTTTGATTTCTTACCACACCAACAGCTGATAGTTGGAGTATGGTGAAAAGGTTGGTCATGAAAATGAACCACTTTGGCACCAAAGGTTTGCCATCATCCAAGAAGTTGCTAAGTATGAGGCCTTCAGCTTGGTTACCAAATGCCCAATAGCCAGAGATAGCAACACTGGAAAAAGTCATTGTAACTACTGCATAACAAAGACATAATCCCTTGAACATCTTTCCCTTCACTGGTGGTGCTATTGTTGCCTATTAACGAAAGTTATATAATTATTAGTTCCTAAAGAAAAAAACAAAACCGGTTTTGGTAGAGATTGGTCGAAATGGAAAAAACACAGTTTCTCGACTAGATTTTAGTGCTTCCTAGAGAAGACTTGATAATCACTTCTCTAGAAAGCGCAGGTGAATACACAATGAGCACTTGGGTTTTAACTAAAATGTTTTTGTGTGCTTCTAACAAAACCAATTAAAAACACTTCATTCATAAACAAACTCTCCCAAACAGCCCCATATAATACTCGAATCCGAAAGAAAATGAAAGCAAATTCGAGGATAACTGGACTATTTTGAACCTGAATTTCTGGAATGATGCCATTGCCAAATGTTGTAGCAATGATGGCATTGGCATTAAAGACCCCAAAAACGCGATTTTGCGTGTTGCCCTTCAAGGAATAGTCCTTATGCGGCCCTTTGGAAGAACTTCCTGACAAAATATAAAATTATGCTTGCTAAGCTTTCTTCTCATGGCAGGCAAGAAAATGCTATCATAAGTGAGTAGCTATTACCAATGTAGATGCAAGCAGCAGCGGTACAAACGCTATAGGCTAAGCAAAGAACAACAGACACCAAGTTGATGTGCCTCAGTGAGTGAAAAGATGGGATTTGGGCCAGAAACAGCATCAAGCATCCAAATATGATCACAAACTCGTAAAGCTTCATAGTCCCAGTTGGGTTTGACAGCAAGAAAACTGCCTGCAAAGAAAATAAAGCATATTATAAATATATATAAAAAAAGGTCACAAGCAACTAAATAACCGTGACAAATAGCATACTATTTATAAAAAATGAAGACATTAAGTACTGTCAAAGAATTAAAATCACCCGATTTATGTGATACACATGATTTGCCGGTGATTGCACGTATCTGAATTTTACAATAACCTTTTTTGTGCCATAAGCGAGTGAGTCGTACAAGTTAAGAAAAAGGATTACCTTCAAGCATTGTCCTCCCAAAAGAGTACAGGCTACAACAGCACCATAGCATACGAGGAACTGACTTGGGCCAACAAAATAGCGACTCCATCCAGGCCCTGTAGAATCCAATACAGTTTCAATTAAATAATGTCAACTTTTATTTTTTTTTAATTTTTAAATAATATTGAAAGAGACATAATTCATCATACAAAGCAAAATACAAGGGATACTCAATTAAGACCATCCTAAACCGGCCTCAACCATACATAAAATCACAAAAAAAAAAAAACGTAGTGGATGCAGTGGTTCTATAAATCTTCTTTACGTCTTTTAGTTTCTTATTATTAGGTTTTCATAATGTGGAATCGATTTTGCTCACTATTTTGTATATCAATGTATTTTTTGTAAGGACCCTTTAGGTTTCAGTTTGTTTTCACAAAATTCTTTTTCTTTGATTGTTCGTCCAAAATTGATGATTTCATTGAAAATGCACTTATGCAAATGACAGAATTAACCTCAATGAATGTACATGCAATCTAATCTCAAAGGAAAACTTTGTCATTTGGAGAATTTTTTTGTATAAAATCATCAATCTTTGGACGAAAAATCAATGAAAATGAGTTTTGTGAAAACAATTTAAAATCTTAAGGGTGTGTGTAATTTCTGAAACCTCAGGGAGTTTTGTGAAAAAGTCGAAAACCTCAAGGAGTAAGAGTGTAAATAACTTTGGAAATTAAACACAAAGAAACAAAGATTCAGACGTGGCCAGGAAAAAAAAAGAGAGAGAGAAGATAAAAACAAATTTAGACAGCTCAAATGGCCAACCTTGAAGATGTTGCATAGCCAAAAAGGAGAAATTGACAAGGGCCATTTTACAGTTAATGGCAGACAAGCCACGTTCTTTTTGCATTCAGTTTTTTTTTTTTTTTTTTTTTTTTTTTTTTTTTTTTTTTCCTGACAATTTAAAAGTGAAAGAAAAGGATTTCATACTGATATATATACGTACCTAGAATGTCATGCGCCATGTCTCTGAATCGGAGATGGCGATGACCCAATTGAGCATAATGTTCAAGAACCAAAGAGAGTAAATTGTAGTTATAGAAGGTCACGATTGCTCCGATGACCAAACACAAAATCCCAGCCGCCCATCCAAGGAAGGTGAAAGCATACGGCAGACTCAGCAGCGCTGGAGCAACTATTGAAGTTGTCAAGTGATAACCGCAATGCAGCCATGATCCTACATCATCAATGTCAAAATTAATACCAAATTTGACTAATTGCTTCTTCTTTTTAAGCAAAACAATCTAACTATATAATATAAACTGCATGATTTCAATTATAGATTATTATGACACACTCCAGAAGCATGCAATCAGATTTTTGTAATTATCATATGGTAAAAATACAAGTTTTTTAAAATTGAACATATTATACACGTACATATGTATTCTTCACGTTTAATACACTTATTTTTAACATATTATTGACTAAAATATCAGGGACGGATATAGGATTTGAAAATGGCATTGCCTAAATTTCCCTTGCGTACAAATCTATTGAAAACTCGACGATACCAATGAATTTTATTAAAGACAAAAATAAAACATCAGGTACATAATGAGCCTTACTCCTCAAAATGCTAGAACATGTAGATAAAAACATACTTAAATAGTTAAATATCTAATCAAAATCCATAATATATTATCTACATACTTGAATAGTTAAATATCTAATCAAAATTCAGAAAATGTCATTAATTGTAAATAAGAAAGTAGGCCTTTATCACATCTTCAATCAACATGTTAACAACTAATCAATTTATCAAAATATCCCTAATTGATAATTCATACAAGCAAGAACACCAAAGTCAATTTCAAATTCTATTTTGCCATCTAAGAGAGAGAGAGAGAGAAGAAAAGTCAGTCTAGTGGGGTTAGTTAATAAGATTTTTGTTGAAATTCTACATTGTATGTAGATTCTACCATATTGCCATTCGACATGGTACATGGCCAAATGGTCTAATAATAGTAGTCGTAATAAGCTATAATAAGCATAATTTCTAAAATATAATAAGCATAGTTTCAGCAAAAATGTATAAGTTTATTCGATATGTGCGATAGTGAGTGACTACATGCGGTCAATATTTGCTTCTTCAACAAAAATAATATTGTAACTATTTATCACCTTATTAGTGGCGGTAGGATTTGAAAATTACGTAGACAAAACTTACATACTAAACTTGACTGTTTAAGTTAATTTTATTAATAAATATAGAAGCTAAATATATACGCATACATACGACGTCACAGATAAGAATAATCGAAGTCGACCAGAAAAATGAAGTAGGATTGATGATAACCAAATCGGTAAAGGACAAAATTAGGTGAAAAACATATTAATGAAGAAGAAGAAGAAGAAGAAGATGATGATGATGCTGCTGCTGCGATGATATGGATCGATGATAATCAAGATAAAGAAAAAGAAACAAAAACTAATTAAAACAAGTTGTAAATTAAAGATATAAAAAGAAAAAATATCTCTGAAGCGGTCAATACCTTTGGATTTAAGAACAAAAAGAGCACCAGCATCAAGTTGCCTCTCCTGGTCATGAGCTTCTTCTTGGCCAATAACCTTTGCCTCCTCTGAGCTTGGTGGCACTGGCAGCGTCCCCATCTCTCTCTCTCTCTCTCTCTA